ATATATATATATATATATATATATATATATATATATATTCAGTCATTCACTATGACCGACAAATACAATACATTCAATTTTACTTTTTGGCCTTTTGTTGACTTAATTTTGTAAGACATTGTAACTTTTCACTTTTTCCCACCTTCGTTTTTTTCATTTTCAGATTTTTCCACCTTCTCCTAATTTTTTGAGTATTTTTATGTTTATGGGACGAATTCTGTATTTTTATTTTATTATTGTTGTTTTTCTTAATTTTTAGGCCCAAATAATATCTTTTGGACCTGAAATTGAAAAATAAAATTTATGCCCAAATTAAAAAAAATAAAAATTGAAGGCCCAAAACAAGAGATTTTGGATTTAACCGGTTAACCGCCAAATCGAACCGTCCAATGCGGAATAAAACCGAACCGGTTATGGATAAGAAAAAAAATTAACCGTTAAGTCCAGTTTAGTCATGATTTGGGTTAAAACCGGACTAATCCAGACCGTGAACACCTCTACATGGCATGTGTTCACTGTTTCACTGTGGACGAACGCCTATTGAAAGTTTGTTATTCAAGTATGTGTGTGACAGGTTTTGCCTAATGAAAATTTGTTTCACAAAAATAAACATAAGATCACCAGATCTGACACCCAAGTATTATCCTGTTGGGGTCTTTTTAGTTGTTTTAGTTGTGTTTAGTTGTGTTTGTTGGTTAGTTTAATAGTGAGTTTTTATTCTAGCATTGCTAGCCGGAATTCTAGGCGGTCTTCTGACATATCCTCCCACATTTTCACAAATTTTTTGTGTTGCATAAGGATTAAAGTTACTAAAATTAAAATTTATTTGTCAAAATTTTTAACATTTAATGCACTTAATAATTATATAGAAAGATAAATATTATAGGTTAAACGTTGGTCAATTATCAAGCAAGTGCAAATTATGGATTGTTGAAAGAATTATAAGACTATGATAAACGATAATTTTATTAGTACATACAAGTAATTTGTAGGCAAATATCATATAACCTTATACATTTAAAATATCTTATAAACTTATATATAATAAATTTTTTATATTAAATAGTCAAAAACTGTAATATATATAAATAGAAATTAACAATGTATATCAATATCTATATATATATATCTATATTTATATTTATATAATTGACCAATCCTTATTGACATATTTGGCATGATTTTGAGCGGAAAATTTTTCTTTTACATTTGACATTTAATTATTGATATTTATTTATTATCAAATCATATGAACGAAAAACGTAATTAATTTTTATACACTCAATGACTATTACTAATTAACTACACATTAGCGTAAATTGAAATTTTGATCGTAGATTTATTATATAATTTAATAGCAATTTATTGGCACAATTCAAAAAATTATTATGGAAATTAATTTGATTAAATGTAGTGGTATCTATGGTTGTTGGTATTAATTTGATTAATTATATTCATTATTCATAAGTACTTAAAATATATAATAAAATAATCAGAATAACTATGTTTAAATCATTATAACTTAATAAATAATTTAAAATATTAATAAATTTTTCTAAAATATAGTCGATTTAACTATAAAATATACATCCCCATATATCTTATGGAGTGACAATACTAATGAAAATTGAAATAATACATTAATAAAATAAAATTTGATGGTTGGGTGCAATTCAGGATTATAAATTTCACCTTATAAGTATCCATGTAAATTAAAAAAATAACTAATTTTTAAATATATAATTTTTTTCTTATATACTATTTTATAAGTGAATAATAAGTTATTTAAAAATCAATGTATAATAATTCAAATTATTGCACTTGGTAATTACGGAAATATATAAAATATAAAATATGTGAATAAATACTATGTAACTCATTATATAGGTTGAAAAAATGAATTAAAAAAGCAAATACAAATAAAAAATAAAAACATAAAAATAAAATATTTAACCATAAAAATTTTGTTTGTTGCATAAGGATTAAAGTTACAAAAAATTAAAATTTATTTATCAAAGTTTTTAACATTTAATGCACTTAATAGTGATAACATAAGATAAATATTATGGGTAAACGTTGGTCAATTATCAAGCAATGTGCAAAGTATGAATTGTTGAAAAAATTATAAGACTATGAAAAGCGATAATGTTATAAGTACATAAAAGTATTTTGTATGCAAATATTATATGATCTTATACATTAATAATATTTTATAAACTTATATACAATAAACTTTATATATTAAATAGACAAAAACTAAACAAAAATATATAAAAATAGAACTTAACCATAATAGTAAATAAATAAATGTCATGTTATTATTGAATATAATATTGTGGAGACTATATATTTCTTAAATAATTTTATAATATCTAAATAAAAATATATTTTGTATATCACACTGTAGAGCATGAGTATCAATACTAGTATAAAGTATAAGCTCAAAAAACTTATGCATATTTCATCAAAGTTACTAATAATCACCTCACTATAATATAAACATTTTTTTTTACTTTAGATTATTTAAAATATATTTAATACAAAAATATATATCCCCCTTATATATTAATTCAGAACGTGCTTGATATGAGATATTATATATTCGACCAGTTCGTCGGGTTAGCCAAACGAAATAGACTAGCGGTCCGACCGGGCGGGACCGAACATCTGCAATGAAGGAAAGAAGGTAAAGATCGAGGAAGAGCGCATTCGGTGGTGATAGACAAGGACTGGCTGCTCGAGGTGTCAGACAAGGACTGGCTGCTCGAAGAGTCGGACAAGGAGGGCGACCAGACTAGCGTGGTCGTGTTCTCGACCACCTTACGTCTCAAGGACAACTCTCTGATCGTTGCGGATCTGGTCGAGTCTCAGAAAGGAAAGAATCCCAGCACGTGGAAGGGGGATACGTGGCGCTTTGCAAGTGGTCCACAGCAATACGTGGAGGGAAAATAATGATTTTGGCCGGAAATCATAAAAATGTTATTCTTTTAAATATAATGATAGATTGAACAATGCCACTTCTGGAATGAACTTCATTTTAGAAAGAAGCTTTATGTTTTTTTCGATAACAATTACTTATAAATAGATTGAAATGATAATGTTTTCCTTTTTCGTTGCTTTGTGTTTCTTTGTTTGTGATGTAGTGTCGGTTATTTGAGTCTTATTTTTTGTTTCTAGCTTGTCTAGTTGCGGTTCTAGGCGGTCTCTGATATGTCTTCTCTCTTTTTTAGTCGTTGGTCGTATTATTCAGCTATGAGTTGAACTTTGTACATTTGTGCGTTTTGATTTATAATATTTCTATCTTTCCGAAAAAAATATTATAACTTAATAAATAATTTATAATATAAATATAAATTTTCTAAAATGTAGTCAATTTAACTATAAAAAGATACATCCTCATACATCATATGGAGTGACGATACTACTGAAAATTAAAATAATATACTAATAGAATAAAATTTGATGGTCGGGGTGTAATTCAAAATTATAAATTTGACCTTAGAAGTATTCATGTACATTAAAAAATAACTAATTTTTATCTTATATACTATTTCATAAATGAAAAATAAGTTAATTAAAAATCGATGTATAATAATTCAATTGCACTTGGTAATTACGAAAATATATAATATATCTAAATATTCGAATATATACTATGTAACTCATTATATAGATTGAAAAAATAAATTAAAAAAATAAATATAAATAAAAAATAAAAACATAAAAATAAAATATTTAACTACTAAAAATTAAAATTTATTTATCAAAGATTTTAATATTTAATGCACTTAATAATTATAGGAGAAGATAAATATTATGGGTTAAACGTTGGTCAATTATCAAGCAATGTGCAAATTATGTATTTTTGAAAAAAATATAAGACTATGATAAACGACTATTTTATAAGTACATAAAAGTAATTTGTATGCAAATATCATATGGTCTTATATATTAATTATATTTTATAAACTTATATAAAATAAACTTTATATATTAAATAGACAAAAAATACATAAAAATAGAAATTAACAATAATAGTAAATAAATAAATATCGTATCATTACTGAATATAATATTGTGGAGAATATAGTTTCATTTTTCTTAAATAATTATATAATATCTAAATAAAAAATATATTTTGTGTACCACAATGTATATAGCACTAGTATCAACACTAGCAAAAATAAAATATAAGCTCACTAAACTTATGCATATTTCATCAAAGTTGCCAACAATCAGCTCACTATATTATAAACAATTTTTTTTTTTTACTTAAGATTATTTAGAAGATATTTAATAAAAAATATATATTATCTTATTTTACGTGTGAAAAATCTCAACATATGCAACGTGTCGGCGCCTCTTAGCCTGAAACCTTCTTCTGTACTAACCAGTCCAATTCGCTGCGGTTCGTTTCGAATTCACATCAGAAAAAAACAACTTTTTTAACTGGTATGAAAGTCACATTTTACAGAAAATCAAAATCCCCACAATACATTTTCTTCATTAAAATCAAAAGCTCACCTTAAACTGCTCCACCATTTCCCCACAAATCTCAACACGTAGCACACAAACAGCCAAAACACACACATATACATATTTTTTCATTTTTATCTCCATTAAATTGATTGCTTGAAGCTTTAATCAGAGATCGTAAGGACTGAGCGAAGATGGCGGTTAGTATATATTTTTGCCTCCACGTCGGTTTATGGACTTTTCTTTTGTTTGAGATAGAGTTGTGGATTATTGTTGATTTTTGGCTGATTTTCTTCACATTGATTTCATCTCTAGATGTTTATCAGGTTTCGTTGGCTTGATTTGTGTAGATTTCTCATTTTCCGATTTGATTTCGTTCTGTTGGCTCTGTAATGGAGCCAGATTGAGAGAGAAATCTGTATTTGACTCGTATGTTGGTTGCACTACTGTTTACCTCCTGGGCACATCGAAATTTTCGAATGAAATCAAGGTCTATGTCATATTTGTAGTGATACATGTTGACATGTTGTTATTTGTTGTTGTTTGCTTTCAACTGAAATGGGCTCAATACATGAGGTGATGGGTACACATCATTTGAGGTGGGCGATTTATCAGAAAATCGGCTTATAAATTCACTTCGTTGTTTGTGTTGTAAAGAGATCATTTATACAATGAATTGAAAATTGTACTCCGATTCCAGGGCCGAACTGTGAAAGTGAGCAATGTTTCACTGGGTGCTTCTGAACAGGACATCCAGGAATTCTTTTCGTTCTCCGGGATAATTGAATATGTGGAGATGAAAAGGTTTTGATCAGCTATTTTCAATTGAGTTTTCTGCTTTTCATATAGCTTGATTTATGTATTCATATTTTTATGCATGTGATTATGAATTTCTTTGTGTTTTTGGCTCCTATGATATACATTGATATCTTAGTGAGAGTGAGCGTTCTCAAACGGCATTCGTCACTTTTAAGGACCCTCAGGGTGCTGAGACTGCTGTTCTTCTAACGGTACCCTCAATTACCCTGCAATTCTTTTACTCGCTACATTGTTCCTATATTGAAAATTTTCGGGAGGGGCACATGACATTTATAGGGAGACTTATGAACTATTGTGCCCTATTAACTTGATTAGAATGATGTTCCCTGAGAAAATGATGTTTTAATTCTCTCGCCAACTTAGATTTATTTTTATACTTCCGACAAGTGATTGACATGCTGTGAAAGGTCACTAGATGCTGCTCGACATTTTCCTATGTTTTGGTGCTCTCTTTTAGCTAGACTAGGTTCATTTGTATGTACTCACACTGAACCATTGCTACTGGAAAAATCAAAGAAGTGAATTATTCAAGTTTCTACAGTTCTTCCATAACTTATTACTGTCATTTCTTGCCTCCGTTAAATATTAGGTGTCATTTTATCATTTACTTGTCATGGCTTGGATGGCATTTCGGAATATATGTTAATCTTCCCAGTGAATGTTGGATGGCATTTTATCATCTTTTTTGTGCGTGTGTGTGTGTGTGTTTCTATTACCACTGTTTCTCTTGGGTTTCATCTCTAGCCTACCCCAACTTGTTTGGGACTAAATGGCTTTGTTGTTGTTGTTTTTGAATATTGTAGGCAAATAAAGAAAGATAGTTATATTTTGTGTACATATACTGAATGTTGTAGGCGAATAAAGAAAGATAGTTATGTATTTGTTGTTGTTGTTTTTGAATGTTGTAGGCGAATAAAGAAAGATAGTTATATATTTGTGTACATATATTGACACGCTTTGCTGATTCCCTCTTTTTAAAGATATGTTTTCCTTATTCCTTCTTGGGCAGGGAGCTACGATCGTTGACCAGACAGTTAACATTGCTCTTGAACCAGATTACCAGCTGCCGCAAACAGCATCCGCGCCATACTCTGTACCAAAAAAAAAAAAAAATAAAATAAAAATTCTCATCTCATTCATTGATCCTTTCTCTTCACATAGGTTATGTTTGGTAAACCTAGCTGATAAGCTAGTTTATAGCTTTTACGTGAATTTCGAGCTTAAAAATTAAAACTGATAGCTTATGACTTATGGTTGAAAAGTCAACTTATATGATAGAAGTGTTGAAAAGTCAACTTATATGATAAAAGTGTTTGGTAAAATTAGCTGATAAGCTAGTTGAAATAAAAATTTCAATAGACTTTATAGAAAAGCTACCCAAGGAAGCTTACGAGATAAGCTCGAGCTGGAAAAAAAAAAA